AAAAAAAAAAAAAAAATCAAGTTAGTTGATCTTTCAGCTTTTCAATCTTGTGTTAGTACCTGGCGTTTGGGAAGAAACAATACTTTGCAGAAGGTTCAGTTAAGAGAATCTTGAAAACGTGCTTAGTGTGATGTTTCAGTTTATTACAGTTCTTAGCGATATCATAATTAATAATACGGTCCATAAGCTATATGATGTATGTGCTCCCTCTGGCTAGGTATAAAACACAGCTCCCCTAGGTTTGGTTTCCTGTAACTAGTTGAGAGATTGTCCACGAGTTAATTAAAATTAGCTGTAGTTGATTCAGTGTCTGCAAGTTAATTAAAATTAGACCTAGTTGATTCAGTAAAAGTAGTAGGAAACATTTGTAGTGACAGGTTCTCTGAGAAGTAGCTGTTCATTTGAGCCTTGATTTTTCTAAGAGAAATTTCATAAGCTGGAGAGTTCTGCCTCTGTTAACAAAATTTACTTGACAGGGAAAAAAATATGCTATTTCCAAGTTAGTAATGATGAAAAAATTGATTACGAAAAGTACTTCAAAGGATACCCATTTTGAGGCTCGTAAATAGAACCACATGATACACTTAAAATGGCAAGTGATTTTGTGTCATTTAAACTGTGTGGGGGTTAAGATTATGGAGTGAAATAAAGTGGGCTTGTGAGTGGTGATGCTATTTTAAATTCTGTAGGACTGCTGTTTTTTGCACGTGTATTAATTGTAGCAAAAGACTTGAAAAATTGTTTTGATTAGAGCATGGGATTGTTTTGCGTAAATGGACACTGAACTCAGGTGGCACACTGTCCGAATACTTACAATGTAGGTGACCCCTTAGGACTTCTTAGCCCTGTTAGCAGGCTAATCTTTCTTGCAATGGAGAAATGACTTTTTTGTTCTTTAAATCCCACAGTAGGAGAGTTCAAAGGTGACTTTCCCATTAGTTTACTGTTTTCCATGGGGTAGGGTAACCATGAAACATGTTATTAACTATAAGTGCTCAACTTTGTAATGTGGACTACTTTTTCCTTCAATGAAAAGTATAAAGGTTGCTGCAAGGACCACTGGGAGAAGCCCAAGTCTTGTCTACCTGCTCTTTTCTCCTCAAACACAACAGTAAGCAAGGTAGAAATAGAAAATGTCCACAGAATCTACCTTTTAGTTATTAGTTCTTGTAATAAAAGTTTGTTTCTTAATGGAATTTATTTGGAAGAACAAAACGTTTACTTTTCAAAAAACCCAAAATTTTATTCTATTTAAATTTTTAAACCAATCTTTAAACATTCTAATCCCTCAGCTTGAAAGTCAATTTAGATTTTTTTATTTAAGGGGAAGATGAAATTTCTGTTCATTGAAATCATATACATAAATATAAAGGGCTTAGAATGGAAGCTAACAATGTGATATGCTGTGTTCAATAAAAAGTAAAAATCTACCAGGAGATAGCTCGGCAGCTTAAGTGCCTGCCTGGCAAGTGCAAGGTCCTGACTTCAGTACCACACACACACACACACACACACACACAAAATCACTTGCATGAGGAATTCTTTGTAATAGGAAAAAGTAATGGATGAGTTATAAATAAAATAAACGGAGCTCAGGCTAAGACTGGAGGTCAGGAAAGGCAGTGAGGATGAGTGATCAGTGTGGAAATCCTGTCGAAGGTCTGCGTCCCTGTGCTAGCTGTGGACCCTGGTTTGGTGACAAGATAATGTATCTAGAACTAAGTGGTCTTCAGTGCCCACTTGTCCACTCTCTTGTGATCCTTCCACAAGCCCAAGAGTTGACTTTCTGATTTCTTTGTGCTCCTGATGTTTGCAAAACTCTGAATCTATTCTCACCCTTAACCCCTTCTTTGCTGTTTTCAAGAGATGAAGAGAGATATTTCCTTCCTCTGAGTCCTACAGATAGTGCTGCCTTTAACTCTTGCCTCAATGATACCTGCACTTTTAAATCTTTCCCCCTCAAACAGGTTCTCTTCAGCCTAAAAGTCACTAATAATTTACCCTCATCTTAAAAATATATTTTTTCTTCTTTTAAATTGGTGCTAGGGATTGAACCCAAATCTTTGCACTATTTTGGTTTTTTGAGACAGCGTCTTGCTAGATTGGTAAATTGCCCAGGCTAAGATTGAATTTGGGATCTTCCTGCCTCAGCTTCCCACAGTGCTGGGGGTTAGAGCCATGTGTGACTGTGCTGGATTTTGTTTCTTCCTCTTTTCATTTTTCTTCTTGTTTTTATTGGGTGTTGGTGTTGGTGTTGGTGTTTAAGAGATTGGGAAGATGGGTCCTCTTACTTCTAGTTACATAGGTTGCGCCGGCTGTGCTGGTCTCAAGCTCTGGGGTCCAAGTAGTCTCACCCCATTAGCCTCCTGATTACAGGAATGTACCCAAACTCTACCTATTTGAAAAGGTCTTCCAGAACCTGCCTTCTTTGCTGCCCTTCCCCTTAAATTACATGTTCCACAAGTATTTCCTACGTTACAAAATAGGGATTTGTATGTCCACCTTGTGTTTTGTTATCCATTCAAAACTCTGATCATTACAACACATGTAATCCAAACTTCATGTCACAGATCCTTATTGTTAATTTATATCCTTATATTGGAAGAGTGCCAGCGCCACCCTGAGGGCACACTGAGACCGAGATTGAGACTAGGCAGCAGCGTGGCACACACCTGTAGTCCCAGCACTTGGGAGGCTGAAAAACAGGAAGGATCACTACAAGTCTGATTGGTGTGAGATCCTGTATGCCCTGTACTAAATATCTTCAGTAGATAAATAAATAAATAAACTAAAGGGTCAACAAGATAGCTCCACAGCTTAAGCACTTGCCTGGCAAGCACAAGGTCCTGAGTTCAGTCCCTGGTACTCAAAAAAAAAAAAAAAAAAGGAAACTTAAGGAATAGTTTTCCACTTCATTTAACCTCAACATTGATTCAGTAAATAAATTGAATATCAAAAATAGTCATGTAAGGAGCTATTTTTTGAGAAGGAATGTATAGATCATTTGGAAAAAAAAGCAGTAGCTCCTGTAGATTATAAACAATAGTTACAGTGGGATTCAGAGCTATAGGTAAAACAAAATTAGCTAAAGGTGAGGATATATAGGGGTTCATTTTCACTTTCCCTGTGTGTGTGTGTGTGAAATGGTCCTTATTAAAAACCTTTTTTTAAAAAAAACAAGAAGTAGGCAAAAACAAATCATTTGTTCTGGACAGATGCAATTCCAAGGGCAAACTAGTCGTCCATTATTTCTTTTCATTTAGCTAACATTTAATGCCACCTGTATGCCAAGCATCGAGACAAACATTCCCAGGCACATGTGCCACTAGTACAAACCCCCGCACAAGGCAAGGGCTTCCTTCTACACAGCTCCCCGCCCCCTCTTGTCATAGCATTCTGATTCTGTGGCAGTTGATAATAAGAGGAGGCAGCTTGGGGCAGTAAAGGAGCTAAATGGGGGGAAAGGTTAAGATTTCTAAGTTAAAGCAAAATCCTCAGAGTAAAGAAAATTGGCCAAAATTAGAGAAAAAGGAGGGATACAAGGAAAGCCAACATTTTGGCCCTAGCCTTCTAAGGTCAATTAAGACTCAGGACATATGAGAACTTGTACTGTAACGTCATGTACCTCAGTAGTGTCCCAAATTTTCTGATCAAGAAGATTATGGGGCCAAAGAGGAAAGTGATCAATGACATAGAGTGGGCCTAAGGAGAGTCACATGGGGAGAAGACACTCTCTCAGGCTTTCACAGAGAGCACATTGGCCAAGCATTGGCCGTGACTCATCCACATGGCTGCACTGATAAAGTTTCTACAATCTGAGGTACAGGATCTCAGGACAAATCCTGAGGGCATTTCACTGACCTTCTCAGACCAAAAAGCTACAACTCTTGTTGCACAGGTCCTGCTTTACCTTGGTCTTAACCATCCAGCAGAAAAGTATGAAGACGAAATTATAAGAAATAAAGCCATGCTGTTAAGTTGAGCCGTGGGGGACTCAGGTCAATAATTTCTGACATTGCCAGTTAAATAGAAGACCCAATGCTAAAATGGGCTACTGGACTCTTTTAGAATATTTTGCTGAGTTTACACACCTATAATATTCAATAACGGAACTTAGAAAAAATGGCGTATACAGATGAATGTCCATTTTGTATCTGTGTATTCAAAGTGGTTGGGATAGATATATAGTTACATTCTGTTAATGAATAGAATGATTTGTTCTAATGGTGTTTGTAAATAGGATCACAAGTCCGCATCTTGTACAGCAATTAACCACTAAGAAGAATATATGCAGTGTATTATTTGTTGAAAAATAAAAAAATAATAATAAAAAAAAAAGAAAATTGGAAGAACAGGTTATAAATAAGAAGGCAGAGGTTGGAACCAAATGCATGTTTTCTCCATCTCTGAACAATTTCAAGAGAGTAAACTAAGGGTTATACAGTCATAAGCCCAAGGAAGAGAGGGAGAGGGCATTCACTTAGAAAGACTACTTTTCTTTATATTTCTGATCTTTAATGGTATGTGTGCAAATAGCGATGTTACACAGGCTTAGAGGGGGTGGAGGTTGAGCTAAGTGAAAGAACATTTATCTTGAGAAATGCCTATAGAAAACCGTGAGGCAAAAATAATGTTCAAGACATTGGGGAGTCTCATTTCAGCCATACCTGCAAGGTGCTAATTTAAGAAACACCAATCATAGTAAAATTCATTTTGCCACTAAGAATATGACATCTTTGTAGCCATGTAGCTACCAATGATTGCATGTTACTTGGGTTGTGTATTTTGTTTACTTTCTTAGGTTTTTAGTTCTTTCTCTGCCCTAATTGTTGATTTTTGACAGTCATCATTTTGTAAATCACTATAGTTTCATATTCCTGCTTTTCCCTAGAGTTGCTAGTGGCATCTATAACTTTTTGCCAGAAAAAGACTGATTCAGGCCACAGTAATGAGATGATAAAATAGCAACATTTTTCTTACTTCTGGGACCTAATTTGTTCCAGATGAGATTAGAGAATTAGAATTTGAAAAAAGGAAAAAAATGGAAAGTCTTTTCTTAGGACTTTATCTAGCTCTCTGATTCTAAAATACTCACTGAGAGAAACAAAGTTAATTTTTAGCATAAGTGATCATTGTGTGACATTTACTTAGGGTTTCTATATGTATGTTTTGAGTCCCTGGGAACGCTATCTACAGTCCACTTCATTTCTTTAAATGACCCCTGTGGTGGTGTCTGTCAGTTGTTCTGTCATTTTCTCCACCATCAAAAAATCCAAGGGAAGCAGTTTGGGTTGGTTTGGGGGGGGGGGGGGGGGGGGGGGATTTTGGTTTGTAAAGCACCATAAGCATTCAGTGAGAAAATAGAAGAATGTTTTAAGTAGGGAAGTTTCTTTTAACCTATTATGAGTATCACATAGACATCCCTATAAGTTGTTATTATTATTATGAGATAAAGTATGGTTTAAAATGAGGTCAACAACAGTTTGAGAGCTGTATTAGTCTTTTGGGACACTTAAGTTGGAACTAAAACAAATTATTGAGCATGTATTTTGCAAAGCAATGTTGTAGCTCATTTTAAAGTGGCCGTTAGCTGAGAAGTAAATTGCTAGAGCTTCTTACAAGGTAATATTTTCTCAAAGTCCTGTGGTAAATATGCATCTAAACGGAATATCACAAATCAAGCTGAAAATCACAGCAGAGTTGCAGCCCTGCTTGCCACAAGGCAATACAGCTAATCAGCACTAAAATTCAAGAAAAATCTACATAAAATGTGTATTTTAAAAACATCCAGCAGGGGTTGATGGCACAAGCTAGGAATGGTGGCACGTGCCCATATTCCCAGCACTTGGTAGGCTGAGACAAGAGGATCACTGTTCAAGGCCAGCCTGTACTATGTAGTGAGACCCTGTCTCAAATAAACAATAAAGTGGTTAATTTAAAAATCCTGAAGGGGTGTGGTAAGTGCACATGTGGCCCCTTAATCTCAGCACTCAGGAGTGCTAGGCAGGAGGGTCACAAGTTTGAGGACATCCTGGGCTGCACAGCAAGGTGAAGGCTAGGCTGTGCTACTCTGAGAAACATTGTCTCTGAAAAAAATTCTGATTAGGTTAAAAATTTGAAACTCCTGTCAAGTGACTTATTTTCTCAGTCAGGAGTACCTGGAAAGGTAAAGTGTTAATGCTTTTCTTTTAGAAGATGTTAGCAAAGATAAATGGAAATGTGGGAAGGAAAACAATCTAAATTATAAAGAAAAATACTGTAGTTGAAATAAAACCCACACTGCATGCTAATTAGAAAGTTGCTAAGAATTAAATTAAGTAGACTAGAAGACCAAGATAAAAGGAATTAAGTTTGAGAGTAATAATTTCTTTATTAGATTTTTTTTTTTTTTTGTGGAACTGGGGATTGAACTCAGGCCCTTGCGCTTGCTAGGGAAGCGCTTATATTCCACTGAGCCATCCCCCCATCGCCTAGAATTTTTTTTAATTGAGCTCCAATTTTATGTAAGATAGTATTTGGTATGGTGATTGATCACTTTAAGTGAAATAAGAAATTTGACTGACTAATGCCAATAAGCCATATGGATCATTATTCACTATGAATGTTTATGTGGGCTTGGAGTGTGTTTTTTGTATTTATCTGTCTAGGGCTTTATTTGAAAGTCTGGGAATTTATTTCAGATGCTGTGAAGATCTGCTTTAGGAAGTGCTGGGCGGTCGTCCAATGTGTTTGTCCTGACCGCTGTTCAACTTCTTCCTGCAGCCCCCTCCATGCTGGGAATAGACAGCTGTCCTTGAGGCTGAGGCTAAACAGATTATGCACAGCAGTCTTCTCTCCATCATTGCCTGGACCTGGGGTAGCTGTTAAGCACTTGGGTTTCCAAAGGTTCCTGACCATCTACACAAAAAGAATAAACAAATGGCCTGTTAGTCAAACAAACCTATCATTATTATTATTATTATTATTAGAACTAATATCACTAAATTTGAAGAAAGTTGGTAGAAAATTAAAATAGTGATCCATTCGTGGATAATGGACATTTAGAATCTAGTAAGTGAGAATATTGACTGTATACATAGTAATCATACTTAAATGAAATTAATATAGTGTGATTTTTATTCTAACACTTCAAAATTTTAAAAAACATTTGTGAATGATTTTGAAATCTAGGCTCCTGCAGTGTTTAGTATTTGAATGTTTAGAGTTTTTGTCCCCAGCAGTACAACCAAAAAAATGAGAAAAAAGTTACTTCTTTTATGTATTCCCTTCTTTTCCCCTTCAGATACTATTTCTAGTTGTTCTTTATGCAGTTTTTGCCACTGAGTTTTGGTAATTTAAAACATTGTAAAGCCAGCAAAGGACTTTACTATTTCAGTGAACTTTGATGTCACTTTTTTAATGTAATCACCTGATTTTGTTTTTGTCTCATATGTAAAACAAATTTTTATTTATTTATTTATTTATTTATTTATTTTTTTGGCGGAACCGGGGATTGAACTCAGGCCATTGCGTTTGCCAGGGAAGCACTTATTCCACTGAGCCATCTCCCTGACGCAAATTTTTATTTTTCAGTGGTTGTGCTTTTTCTTTTAACCAGTAAATTCTTACAGGTTCATTTATTATTTTGGAACTGTGAACAATTTTAAAGATCATTAAGCTTTGTTTATCCTATTCTTAGAAAAAATAACCTTTGTTTCCCCTTCTAGCTTGATTTAGCTGTCATCCCTCAAAAGAAAATATACAATGGCTGTAAGGACTGGAGAAAATCTTACCAAAGACCTATTCAAAGACCTATTATTAGTGTGTTCTGGTCATTTTGTTAACTTTAAAAACTTTGACTGTTAGGCTGTTTGCTATTAAAAAATTAGATTTCCTGAGCATTTGTGTTAATTTATTAATAAGTGTTTTAGTTTTGATAATTGCTCTTCTTTTCCATCCCTGCTGTAGTTGAATGGGTCGCAGCAGCTGCCATCGCTGCAGGAACAGCCGTAATTGGATACCTAGCTTATAAAAGATTCTATGTTAAAGATCATCGCAGTAAATCTATGATAAACCTTCACATCCAGAAAGACAACCCCAAAGTAGTCCATGCTTTTGACATGGAGGACTTGGGAGATAAAGCAGTGTACTGCCGTTGTTGGAAGTCTAAGAAGGTAAGAATAACAGCTTGCTCATGCAGTGCCATTTTTATTATATTTCTGTTCTACACCATTTTATCAAATTTTCAGATGTTGTTAAGGTACCTTTTTTATTACTTTCTGATTCTGTTAAAAAATATATTTCGTGAAACCACTATGGTAAAATTACGTTATGACCTCCATTGAATCAGGTATATTTAACTAAGTTCTTGTCCAAAAGGGATAAAAAAATGTCTAATTTACTCTTAGGATTTCTTTCTCAATTGGATTTTAGTTTATGCTGTCCTAGTATCCCATGATATGGGAATGTCTGAAAACAAAGAAAAACGAAAGATACCCTTTTTTTAAAAAAAAAAAAATTTCACAAAGTACTAGGACAATTTTTAGAAATTTCAAAAGAAACTTTGTAAAAATGACCCTTAGATTCTTATTGGCAAACATCCTAAGCTATCTTTCAGTTACAGCTCTTATTCTTAAATCCTTATGTAAGATCCTTACAAATCTTTCTTTTATGACTATTACATTTTATGAAGTTTCTTATGGATGTATGGCCTATGATACCTTTAGACATAGGGTGGGGAGATGATTAAGATGTCAGAATGCTCCCCACAGTTCACCTTGAAAGGACTTAGACACTGAGTTGAGAATGATTGGTGCATTGTAAAAGGTTTTGTAAAGACTGCATACTGCCACTAATAGTATTCAGATAACTGGATTTCACAAGAAATTATATTAATATGTTTTTAAAGAATAATAAACCGCTATATCTGGGCTAAGGTTTAGCTCAGCGATACACTGCTTGCCTTGCCTGCCTAAAGCTGTGGGTTCAATCTCAGCTTTAAAAAAAAAAACATTTTCTGAAAACAGTATAATGGGGACCTCTTCCCACAATGGAGATCCATTTTTGTGAATTATGTATAACATATATTGAAAAAGCTACGGACTAGGTATTAAAAAGTGTATTTCCCTAAACTATGTCTCCCTATATGATTAATGTCCACTCTGATGATAGAGAGCTTAGATTTTTGTCAAAAAAACTGCTTGATGAGTGTATGGAATATTAAGCAGATTTTGTAGTATTGTGACAAAAAAGTTGTGCCTTAAGAAGAGCATTGTTGAATGTCCTTGCTCACATATCATTTCATAACTGTGAACATATATGTGCTTCAGGAAGAGTCAGCATTAAATTTTGAGCAGTGGGAGATTTAAAAAATTTAATCCTGCCTTCAGTTATTACTGGCATAATCATGTCACAATGTCGTATTACCTCTGCTCAAAGCTTGTCTTGCTGAGGCTTTCACAACTGGCCAGTTGGGATGGATGGCATAAGTTCATGCTGGAGACTAAAGAGATCATAAGAAAGACAAGGCGCAGTGGAGTACAAACAAAAAAAAAAAGGCATAGGATGTATGCAATCTGAAGAAAAAACAGTAGCTAGAAGAGGATAACTAGAAGCATCTATATCCTACCTAGTTGAGCCTACATTTCTTTGCTTCTACCAAACTACCTACTAACTGTGAAAAAAGATATCATTGATATTAGCCAATGAACTTACTGTCTAACCTATGAATGAACAGTATATGACCTTTGTAGAAATACTGGACAATACAAAAAATACAAGGAAGAAAAATGAAATCAATAATTATCCCACTTGAAGATAGCCAATGTGAATATTTTAAGTTGCTATACCTCAAAATTTGTATTATTCACTTTGTATAAATATATAGAGTAGTATATTTATGTGTGTGTATGTATGTATATATATATATATATATTATATATAGAATGCATAGACACATCTTGAATGTTGTTGTATATACTGTTATGTAAACAAACAGTATTCCATGCCATTAAATAATCTTACATAATAAAAAAATAAAAGCATTGTTGATTTGGAATGTGATTGTAACTGCTGATGGAATCACTAGACAATAACCTCTTAATGACATTCATACACTAAACTTGGAAGTGTCCATCTACTTGTTGCTCACTAAAACTCAGTGAGGTATGTAGAAAGTGTAGAATTTGTCCCAGGGTATCAAATAGTTCATTTACTACTTAATACAGCTTTTGTTTCTAGACAGTTTGGTTAACGAACAGAAGCACTGGGCAAAAGTTTGTTTCTGTTTGCAAACTCTGCATCAAGTAACAACACAACAGTGGCCATATTTCCTACATAAACACAAACTTAGCCATCTTCCCAAAAAGTGCAAAACAAATTAAATTCTTGAACCAAGACAGCACAGTATATATACTGTATATGAAAAATGTTAAATAGTAATAATAGATGTCTTATGTGTATGCTAAGAGTGATACAAGTGTTTTAGATAAAAGAAAGAGTTTATACCATGGATTAGAATTTTCTAGGAAGAATTAGTCATAATACTTTGGAGTTCAGTTGCCCCTGAAAAGATTAATGGCATCTGAATAAGCTGTCTTAAGAAACTCCTGTGAAGAAAAGTACAATAGATGGAAGACTGTGGTTTGCTCCTGGCATCAGTCCCTCTTTCTCCAAGAATACACCTAAATTGCTAGTCTTGGAGATTTTTACTCCCGGATGTGGGGGAGAGGGACCTTGGAGGGATACTAGGCATCGAGTTATGATCACATACCAGGGTGCCAGCTCTGAAAATAGGGGAAAATAAAGGGGAAGGGGAAAAAAAGCTCACAAAATTTAAGGAAGAATCAGCCAAATAGAAAACTAAGGGAGAAAAACTGAAGGATCCAGGCACATGTGTAAGAAAAGATTACATCATTAACAGCAACAGGGCTGAGGATGAAAGGCCAAGTTCTCTGGACAGGGCTGACTAGTTCCAGAATGAAGTTAAGGTGGCAGCTGAATGGAGGTGAACAGCAGAGGAGCCGAAGTGTGGGCGTCAAGCCGATGCCTCGGGCTTGCAGATAGAGATCAGCAAAACTGATGCGCAGAGCGTAGGAATGTGCTCATCTCCAGTACGATGAACATCGAGATCTGGTGGGAAATCTGGGAGAGTTTTCCACATTGGGAAAGTATTACAGGGGTCAAGGCGGTGGCATAGGCCAAAGAGGCTAGAATACAGCTGAAAATATTACGGGTTCAAAGTGGGAAGAAAGAATTTTCAGCGATTTGGTACTCAACAGCCTGTGTTAAGACAACCAGGTGGACTGTAGGATTAATTGAGAAGGCAGCTGATCTTTTGGTGTCATTTCAACAGAAAAATTGGAATAAAAGCTGCACCTAAGAGGGCTGTAATGTGAACTACTAATAAAGGCAGGATTTCAGTAAGTGCAGTGAATGAAAGAAAAAAAAATGAGGTAGTGGCTGCAGTGAACTGTAGGCATGGCTTTGAGGGCAAGGAAAGAACATTTCCTTTGATTGGGTTTTCCCAGAGGATGAAGTGTCCGATAAAGTAAACATGCAACTTTGCTAAACTAAGATCCCAGGTATTTCAGGAAAAACCACAAGTGGACACAACTTGCTTCATTAAATATTTATTAGAAGTTATAACTCAACAGAACATTCCAGGATTGTCCTTTAATTTTACAGTTTAGAATATCCAGATGGTTACACTAGGGACTACCATTTCTATAAGTCTTTAAGAGAAGGAATGTCAAACTAGTTATTTTACTTTCATTTTTCTCAGTGTCTTCTTTAGTGTTGGAAGGTCTTTTACCCTATTAAGTGATCATGTTTGTATCTAGGATTTGGCAGTTCCAAATTTTCACTGAACTTTGGGCACTTACTGTACCTGTATGAATCAAGGATTAACCTAGAATATTATTCAAGTGAATAAATGTTCTTATTTTTCAGACAGCTTTGGAAACTCCCCACATTCCAGAGGTTCCTAAGGTTATCACAGAGCTGCCGAGTCACACACTTGGCAGTTGGCAAAGGACATATAATTAATATTTTGGGCTAAATGATCTCTGGGGGCAGTGTTCAATTATTTTCAGTTCATTCAAATCAGTTGTACATATTTCTAACAAAATCTAAACACTTTTTTACCAAGCTAAAATCATTACATTATATAAACTTTGTTCACTTCCAGATCCTTTTTGAATGGTTCTAGAGACTGAATCTAGCACCTTACACAAAATACACTACCACTCTTCCCTGGCAACATCCCAGAACCTTTTCTTGCATTTTTGAAACAGAGTCTTACTGAGTTGTCCAAACTGGTCAAATTTGGGGAATCCTCCTGTCTCAGCATTTTTTTTTTTTTTTTTTTTTTTTTTTTTTTTTTTTTTTTGTGGTACCAGGTATTGAACTCAGGACCTTACACTTGCCAGGCAAGCACTTATTCTACTGAGCTATCTCCCCAGCCCTCAGCCTCTTAAATAGCTGGGCATGAGCCATCCAGCCCAGCTTCTGATTTGGGGGTACAGACACCCGTACCTAATGAATCAGAGCTCCTAATAGCATATCATTTGCACTTTTTAGCATACCCCATTCCTCCTCTCCCAGGTTTGATACACCTTTTGCTGCTTGAGAAACTGACCTATTTCATACTATTTTACTAAAGAACTGTCCAAATTCAAATTAAGAGTGGAAAAATTCAATGGAGAAGAAATGATTAAAGTATCTTCTGGAAAAGATATTTGAGACAGTGCAATTTACAAATAAGGTAAAAGGCAGTGAGAATAAGCATATTTCCGAAACTCAGCTTTACATTGGAAGAGAGAATCTTCCTCTCAACAAAATATGCCAGATGTGGTGGCACATGCCTGTAATCCCAGCACTTGGGAGACTGAGGCAAGAGGATCGCCAGAAGTTTGAAGACAGCCTGGGCTACAGAGCTAAGACCGTGTCTCTTTAAAAAAGCAAAAATAAAGCCCAAGCAAATAAAGTAGCTTCACTGTAAGAAGGAAGAGTACGCAATATAGCCTAGCTAGATCCCCATCTCCCCCTACCTCAAAGGATATACAGAATTTTTTTCTTGCAGCTATTTGCATATTTGGTGATGATGGTGATTATAGGCTTCTGTTTTGGTGGAAAGGAGAGAGAATGAATTTCTATCCTATTAGTGATTTAGAAG